ACTAAAATTAATTCTAGTGTACCCAAAGCGTGATCACCTGGTACTATTTGATTGTCGACTTCAGAGACCTTGTATAATGATTGTAAAGCAGACTAATTAATTATAGTCTTTACATAAATATCGAACAATATTCCTATGTCTAATTTTCAGGTGAGCAAAGTTTTGATGTGATCTAATATGTGCATAACAGAACTGAGTTTTAATTAGTAAAATTTTTGATATAATGTTTAATATTCCTTTTGGGATGATTAATGTATATTACATGTTTGTTCTTTTATTAAGATTTAGATATAATGAAATAAATCAGTGAACATCATAAAATGCTAAGCTTTTTTATTTACATTTATAGGAGGATGATGAAGAAGAGATGGATGAAGAAATCAATATTATGAGAAATAATAATTCAGATGAAAAGAATATGGACACCAATGGTGAGGTTATTTATTTTTGAAATATTTTTCAAAACTTATAATTTCATTATATTATACACTACTAAATAACTTGTTTACTTTTTAGATTTATTTTCTGAATGCAATGGTCATGCAGAATATTTAAGTATAGACAAGGAGTTAATGGAACTTCAAGAAGCAATTAAAGGGGTCAGAGAATCCACAGCTCCCCTAAAATTGTACAAGATTGCTGCTCCTGATACAAAGTAAGTATAAATTGATATTGAGAAAAAATATATTCATTTAAATAGTAATGTCTCAAATATTTATGAATTTTTTTACAGTTTGATATGTGCCAAAACAGACCAATACTGCAATATACTATGTGGAGGCTTCACTAATTCAGAGATAAGGTTGTGGGACCTCGGACAAAACAATATCAACAGACGAGTCAATCGAAATATTTCTGAAGTAGAGTTAGCTTGTAATGTGCCACATGAACTGGTTCCTGACTCCAATACATTGTAAGCATTTTGAAGTACTTTCTTATCATTTCTTGTGCATTATTTTTGTTTGTGTGTCACTTACATAGGTATCACATTACACCCTACCAGTTATCCAGTTGTAGTTCAAGCTTCAACCAATTATATTAAATATTGTTTCAATTTCAGACAAATAGGTGTTGGAGTACCATTGAGAGGACATTCGGGACCAGTGCATGCTGTTACAGTACTCCCACAGGAAGACTTAGTTGTGTCAGCTTCACATGACAATACTATACGAAGTTGGAGACTCACTGATTATTCCTGTGCAGCTATTTACAGGTATATTATATCACTACATAGTATAAAACAAAGTCGCTATCCGCCGTCTGTCTGTCCCTATGTATGCTTAGATCTTTAAGACTACGCAACGGATTTTGATGCAGTTTTTTAATAGATAGAGTTATTCTTAAGGAAGTATAAATTATATTATATACATGAATATTGAACCCGTGCGAAGCCGGGGCGGGTCGCTAGTACTATCATAAACTAGTTAAGACTTGCCAGACAGATCTTACACTATTATATAAAGCGGAAGAGTTTGCTTTTTTGTTTGTTTGTTTGAACGCGCTAATCTCCGAAACTACAAGTCTGATTTGAATAATTATTTTTGTGTTGGATAGCGCATGTATCGAGGATGGCTATAGGCTATAAAACATCACGCTACGACCAATAGGACCTGAGCAGAGCGTGTGAAACCGCGCGGAAGTAGCTAGTCTTAGATAAAAATAATATATATATCTGCTTTTTCCAATGAGTCATCAGCTATTGCTTCATAGCCTATTTTAAGTTTTAAACATACAATATCTATTATCTTTTTCAGAGGTCACAATTATCCAATATGGTGCATGGATGTTTCTAAAAGTGGCCTATTTGTCACAGGATCTCATGATAGGACTGCTAAATTATGGTCTCTCGAAAGAACTTTTCCAATAAGGATATTTGTTGGCCATATGTCTGATGTCACTGTAAGTGTTGAATTTGTTTACCAGTAAAACGACATTCGATTTAATCAGGTATTAATCTATTGTTTAATTTTTTAGTGTGTTAAATTCCACCCAAATGAAGCATATATAGCCACAGGAGGTGCTGATCGTACTGTGCGATTATGGATGGTGTCTGATGCTCGTCTAGTACGAATCTTATGTGGTCACCGTGGTCCAGTCCGAACACTCGCTTTCTCACCTTCGGGAGCTCATTTAGCTAGTGCCGGTAATTACTTTTTATAGTATAATAACATGACATTATTGCCCTCCTAACAACATAAAAACGTTTTTATACCTACCGTGAGACAAACTGAATTACCTAAATAAAAATTACCGGTTATTCCCGCTCGTCACCCCAAGCTTTGTCCCCTCCGGTGACAAGTGGGAATTATATTGAAAAAAAAATCCCATATGTCACCCCCAGGTGACGAATGGGATTCCACTTAGAAATCATCCCAGTCGTCACCGCTAATAAAAGCTTGCTAAAACCATAGTTTTACATTGCGAATGGAAATTTGTTTTTGAACTAAATAATACAATAAAATTAGACAGCCAAAACTTTTTATTTGCTTTTATTTTCAAAATCAGGTTCTAAACGTTTTACATTCAACACAAAAGTATTAACAACAGTCTTTGCATATTATCACAAATCAACACAATTTACATAATTGACTAGGCTACATTCATTGGTTCAGTTTGAAAGTAATCACCATAGCGTTACAAAATATAAAAAAAATAATATTAAAAAAATCTTAAAATGTATCTATACTAACTTTAAATAATTCTTATTATCACAGATCAACACTATTTACATAATTGACTAGGCTACATTCATTGGTTCAGTTTGAAAGTAATCACAATAGCATTACAAAATATAAAAAAAATAATATTAAAAAAATCTTAAAATGTATCTATACTAACTTTAAATAATTCTTATTATCACAGATCAACACTATTTACATAAT